TCAAGTGTTGCGAAGTTTTCCGAATGCAAGTCAAAATACTGGTTTTTGATCAGCGTATCGCAAATGCAATACGTATCGTTTTCATGTCTGAACCGGTAAATACAGGTAAACCGGTTATATTGCGCAGCCCTAACCACTAGGCTACCCCACCACCCCGTAGAACAATTGTGATACATGAGACATGCATGTTTGACGGTCTCCCATACAGTAGCAATGATTAAGAAGAATGATTACTGATTGTAGACAGCCGGGGTTCGACTCCTCACAAGGTATCAAGACAGCTGAGGTGCCATCCGTTGTGATGATTTCAAGAATATGGCAAACAGGATGTAAAAACCCACTCACTGGGATCGATGGCTGTTCTGTATTCTGTTGCTGTAACTCATGATATATTTGTGCATTATGCATTGGAGTGGGTTTGGATGACTTTGAAGCATGACTCATTTGATTCCATATGAGGTAGTTGTTCTGCTGTGATAGCTCTCTCGTCTCCTGATGTCTGGTGTATCAGTCACAATGTGGAATATAATATCTGCATAAGTAAGTCTTATATTAAGGCCTGCGATATAATACAGGATATACTTATTGAATACCTAAATCTGATAATACGGTCTGAGATGTAATACAGCATATATAATACCAGTGTATGTATGTCATATAATATAACCTTAGATGCAATACATACATACATGCATGCATACATACATACATACATACATACATACATACATACATACATACATACATACATACATACATACATACATACATACATACATACATACATACATACGGTCTGAGATGTAATACAGCATATATAATACCAGTGCATGTATGTCATAGAATATAACCTTAGATGCAATACATACATACATACATACATACATACATACATACATACATACATACATACATACATACATACATACATACATACATACATACATACATACATACATACATACATACATACATACATACATACATACGGTCTGAGATGTAATACAGCATATATAATACCAGTGCATGTATGTCATAGAATATAACCTTAGATGCAATACATACATACATACATACATACATACATACATACATACATATACATACATACATACATACATACATACATACATACATACATACATACATACATACATACATACATACATACATACATACATACATACATACATACATATACATACATACATACATACATACAGTCTGAGATATAATACAGCATATATAATACCAGTGCATGTATGTCATATCATAAAACCTTAGATGCAATACATACATACATACATACATACATACATACATACATACATACATACATACATACATACATACATACATACATACATACATACATACATCTGAGATATATACATATACAGCATATATATATACATGCATATGTCATATCATAAAACATTACATACATATACATACATGAGACATATATACATACATGCATACATACATACATACCACATACATACATACATACATACATACATACAGTCTGAGATACATGCATGCATAATACCATGCATGTATGTCATATCATAAAACCTTAGATGCAATACATACATACATACATACATACATACATACATACATACATACATACATACATACATACATACATACATACATACATACATACATACATACATACATACATACATATGGTCTGAGATATAATACAGCATATATAATACCAGTGCATGTATGTCATATAATAAAACCTTAGATGCAATACATGCATACATGCATACATGCATACATACATACATACATACATACATACATACATACATACATACATACATACATACATACATACATACATACATACATACATACATACATACAGTCTGAGATATAATACAGCATATATAATACCAGTGCATGTATGTCATATAATAAAACCTTAGATGCAATACATGCATACATACATACATACATACATCCATCCATACATACATCCATACATACATACATACATACATACATACATACATACATACATACATACATACATACATACATACATACATACATACATACATACATATGTCCTATGATAATATTAAAGTTTAACAAATGCTGTTCTATATTTAGCCTTGAAATGAAAGGGTCTCCTGTAACATTTTGACATTGCCATGGAAACATGTTAGTCTTGCTTATCAATTAACTGAAGCTTAAGAATCTGTTTATGAAATCTTATCACCTTGTAACATTTAATCTGTCAACACAACACAGGGTAAGGATGTTTTAATGGTTGTCATTACATTTATGATCACTATTAAATATAATCAAGATAAGATACAATTGCAAAACACAGCTTAACTATAGCCACATCAAGGATCGATGTTAATTTCTTTTGAGTACCGGTAGTATGTTTTCGCTGGCTGCTGCTTTTGATGTAAAAATTAAAATGAAAATATATTTTCACCAGAAAACAACTGAGATACATATGTATACTTGTTAGGAGCTTGCCCCTTTATCATCCTTCTACATCCATTTAATGGAGCAGCTGGGATACAAGACCGAATTTATTGTCTGCGAATGAGGTACAATGCCCTGAACAAATATATCAATGTAACGGATATGCATAAAAAGAAAGTGTATCCATTTCTGCTGGTACTTCCTAAGCACTTGCTTTCTGGGACACACTCACAGGGGACGCTAATACCAGGATATAAATAACACACGCAACAAAACATTCATTAGACTTGCCAAGCCCATTTGTATAAAAATATAATTGCACAATATGTCCAATACATTTGAAATTGAATAAGTCAATGAGATAGATTCTTTCAAGTTTAGGATTGTGTGAAAATGATTAAAATGTTACCTAGCATATAATTTGTGTAGTTATCCAGTTGGTATCTCTGGTATATTTTCTTATGGAAATGAAGAATGGCTCCAGTCTATATAGTTTCTATAATTACACCACTGGTCTGCATCCCAGTGGAAATGTCGCCCTGACCTTGATTATCGTAATTAATGGTGTGTAATTTGCTAACGGGTTGTATGTTTGTCAGCAGTGAGTAATGCCCTCAGACAGCTAAGGGAGAACAGATGTTAGCCTCAAGTTGAGGACGGGATGCAAATGCAGCTTGCTGGAGCTTCAAAGGAGACAAAAGATTAGGCTCTTATGTCTTCTGAATCACCATTGTCACTTTTTGCTTGCTGAATGTTAAAAACATATTTCCTTGTTGTTGTCATCATTGTTTCTTCCAAGGCCCCTAGAGTTATCTCCCTTATACTCAGATGGATGCGGCAGTATGGGGAAAACATCAGTAGGAAGATCCAGTGTTGACACTGTTAGGTCTAGAATATCAAGCGTATCACATGAATTTATGAATAATTGTCGAAAAACATAATGTATAAGTTGAGACAGACTTGAATATATTATTTTTGTTTCTCTGACTCATGTCATTAGAACCACAGAAAAATATAACATATTGAGTGTTCAGTGGTATGATTGTTCCTTGGACAATAATCTGTAGTTTTCTGATCATTGTTCTTAAGGCATCTGAATCTTTTGACTTTGTCAGCGATGATGGACAGTCTTAATCTCTGTGTAATTTCGGCAAGGGTAGCTTAACTGAATGTCTGTCTTAACAGCATCAGGACCTGCTCTCCCTGTGTAAAGTTACATTCTTAAAGATTGGGTCTGGGTTCAAATCCCATCTGGGTTTGTCAGTACCATACATATAATCTGTTTCTTTCAATTTGGTAAACATTTTCAGTAAATCAGTTGGAGCTTAATTAAGATGCATGCATGCTTTAACTGAAATACTCACATATTCTTCACACTTCATTCATGGGTGGGGTAGCCTAGTAGTGAAAATGTTCGCTTGTCATGCTGAAGGCCCAGGTTCTATTCCCCACATGGGTACAATCTGCAAAGCCCATTTCTGGTGTCCCCACCATGATATTGCTGGAACATTGCTAAAAGCAATCACTCACTCATTCACAGCTTGCAAGATGACCAGTCCTTAGATGGTACTGTCAGTTTTAAAAAAAAACACCAAAACTGAAACATTATTCCTAAATTGAATGGTGACCATGTTAATGTTTTTGTGTGTGTTTAAAGTAAGAATCAGGGGGTGTTTCTAGATGTATATAACCGTGCATGTAAATTCTTTGACTTGAATTCTTTGAGTCATGTTGCTGTCCGTGTGTGAAGGTCGACCTGAGTGGCCATGTCAAACACCTGTCACCTGTGTATCTGACTCATAATACTCAGGTCTTCAGTGTTGTCTCTTGGACATCTGCCAGGTTCCATCTCAGTTACCATGGTAATGTAATATTAATGTTGTTTTCACAAGAATAAAACTTACCAAGAATGACATTACTATTACATTTGTCTGTACCACATATATAGAACATTCACAAGTGCAACATTCACAAATATATTTGCGGCTGATGAAATTCTTTTAACGTCACCCAAAAGATGTTAGGTATTGCAGAAGTTGACATCTTCATCCAAATATTTCACCTCAGTCATGATGTGGCTGAAATACTGCTGATGTGACTTTGAATTATAACTCACTCACTCATATTTCCCCCCTGTATGAGTGAGTGAGTATGGTTTTACGCTGCTTTTAGCAATATTCCAGCAATATCACGACATAAGACCCCTGCATGTGTATCACTTCTAGATGCCATTCAAAGGCTTCAACAGGCATTTGTTGAAAAAATAATTACCGTAGTGCTACTAACTGTACAACTGTATTTTTACCTTTGTATGAATTTTGGCGAGATATTAACTTGGGGAACTTAACATGAGTCAGTGTATACTAAATTAACATAACTAAGGTATTCCTGACAGATGTATTTTATGCATGATCAGCAGAATGTATTTTGTTATTGCTATTATAATCCAGGTTAATCCTCTGACACGGTGTATTGTATGCTGTACCATGGGCTCCATCGTGTCACTTCCACAACGTAATGTAATTCTATTATATTTCTTTCAGATTTGCTAGACTCTGATGTGCCATATCCGGTGAAGCGTGAAACCGACCCCATGTCTCAATCAATGTATGACGCCTCGACCTCCGACCCGATGACGCAGTCGATGTATGGGTTTGATAACGGTTTACCTGATGCCGCACCCGTTTCGACAGAGATACCCATGCAATTTGATTCGTTGTGCTCTAACGGAGATGCACAATACCCAAGTAGTAAGGATCAAGGCAGTGAACAGGGCATGCAGAACGGAGCTGGACCTGACGCAGGTCCTGTCCCAGAAGGGGTCCTGATTGACTTTGGAGGACAGATCCAGAACCCTATTGAAACAGCACCTATGCCAGAGCCTTCTCCTGTGATACAGAGCAAACCGCCAGAACCTAAGCTGATGTCACAGGAGCCTGGCATGTCACAGTTGAGCAAGCAGAAGGACAAGCGACCCGACATGCTTGGTGATCTCATAGCCACAGAGCCAGCACCAGTCTCACAGGACAAGCAGCCGAATGAAGAGAAAACTTTTGGGGAAGTGAGCGTTGTGCAGCAGACAGACAGTAGCGTTAGTCATAACATGGAAGGGGGTGGGGATCTCACGTCTGATGGAGAGTCAGTGAAGGGGGAAACAGTGCAAGGGGGGACAGTGCAAGGGGGGACGGCAGGTGACAGTCAGTCAGTGAATGGGGATGTACAACAATCCATGGAGTACACACAAACTACCAGATCTGTGACAGAGACTAATGGGGATGATACCACGGAGACCAGGAGAGAGGAGACCATGGTTAGTAGGATACCACAGAAACCTCCCTCACCAAAGAAATCGGGGGTGCCAGTTCTTCGTTCACCAAAGAAAGAGGCCCCGGTTGATGTGGGCCCAGGTTGGGATGACTCAATCACTGTCACCCACCCACGCTCACGACCAGCGCATCTCCTGCCTAGGAATCTGAAAGGTAATATCTATTTACATTAATACAAAGCATTAGAAAGGTAATGTCATTTTTGACATGTGATTAACCATCTTCTTTACCTATGATTAACTGTATTAGGTATGTGGATGTCATTATTGCTGGCTGTCACCTCAGGTTGCGAGCCATTATATAAGTGATCTGCGGTTGTAACATGTACTGTAAAGGGCAACAGCGTTACACAGGTCGGAGTAGACTGGGAACACAGGAAACAAACCAGTTTTAGCAATAGGTCAGGTCATGAGTGCACACTGCTCAGACAGATGTTTTAGAAATATTAGAAATTATATTTCTGTCGACAGATGCAGTTTCCGTGATGATGTGTTGTGTTTGCAAACAGGAACAGAATATTCTGTGGTTTAATCATTACAGAAACAGCTGCCAAAGCCCTAGGTCTGGTATTAAGGAATCAGGAGTTATTTCCCTTTAATTGCAAGTGGAATGGTTATCACATCAGTGAATGGCATGGATAATTCTGAACATGAACCAGTTCTATGAATGAAGGATAGTTTGTTTCCTGTTTTATAACTGGTCGTACACTTATGAATACCGATCTGTAACCCCCTTTCATGTAAAAGTTACCTGGCAACATTTTGGTATCTTATATTGTTTTAAAGCTAAAGTATGAGGAGGAATTGACAGTATATATCCATAAAAAGGTGATGAACAATAACATGAGCGAAGATAACAGGAGAATTTATAATAAACCTTTACAATCGATATTTGGTATATATGGATTGAACCCACTGGGGAAATTTGTTATTTATTGTTTAATGTGTAGAATGCATGGAAAACATACAAAATATATCTTTAAAACAATTATATATTTTATGAATTATATGTTTAGGAGATAGCAAATTGACATGTAAACTGACATACACATATACAGATAAATGCACTCTTTTTACTTTAATAAATATTTACATAAATGAACAAAATTGGCTTTTGAGATGGTCCCTTCAGCTGCTTTGCGATTTACCTGAGATAAACGAGCTGTCATACCTGAGGTTTTTTATCAGGTAAAATCTCAGGTATGTCAGTTGAGGCAACTCAGCTGTAAATTATGTCTGAAATAAAGAATATAAAATCCTATTATCCTTTGCCTGGAGGACAACTGCCAGTGAGATTGAATAGTTGTATCAGTACATCGGACTAAGCAGTAGCCAACCATGACAGATAGAAATCTGATGACTTGTTAATTATTTTCTGTGGATACGTTCCTTTGACTATGCATGGGTGTTAAACAGACTTTGATGAAACAACTTTTCTCTTAAAACAATATACTGATTTATTGTAATCGACCATCTGAGAAGCAGGACAGAGTTGAGAATCAAGAACAGCATGTCAGCTTGGTTTGATTGTAATTACTTTGAGGCCGAAGTGGTATGTTTCCTTGTTTTAGATATTTCCTTGATTATTTTGCAATGAAGAGGAAACAAAATGTAAAAGTTCATATTCTCAGGAATGATTATAGTTTAATTTCCATTAGGGAGAAATCAGGGGTATCAAGAGAATCAAGTGATGTATTCTATTCATCTTTAGTATCTGTATACCCGTGAAGATCCGGGTTAGAATTGGTCTTCAGTAACACTTGCTTGTCATAAGAGGCGACTAACGGGATCGGGTGGTCAGGCTCACTGACCTTTTTTGACAAATGTCATCATATCCCAATTGCGTAGATCGATACTCATGATGTTTATCTCTGGATTGTCTGGTCCAGACCCAAATATTTACAGATCTCTGCCATATAGCTTGAATATTGCTGAGGGCGGCATTAAACAACAAACCAGTGTACCTACTATAGTGTCATTACCACTCTACCTTGTGACCTATGTGTATATTTATGGGGGTGAAAGTGACATTAAACTCCCAGTCCAGAACCAATTGCAAAATGTCATTTTGGTTATAGTTCATGTCATTGTTTTGGTTTAGTTTACAAAAAACAACAACTTGGAAATAGATGTAACAAAAGTACAAAGACTCTGATGTAAGTAAAAAATCTTTTCCAAAGAAAAACAGCTTTTTCACATTTTTGCTCCTTGTAATTGAGTGAATACAATATTAGAAATGAAATATATAGCTAGGCTGTAATATGATAGTGTGTTCAAAATAGCGAAAGTCATAAACAACAGTTTCGCAGGTTTAACCCTTTTACAGGCAAGACATTGCTGATGACTGGTAGCCTCTGTTTTTAAACCATATCTTCTAAGTAATGGTCTTCCCAGCCATGTACCGAGATGATCATATCTGTACTGGGTTGTCATTAGCAGCTATATGTAATGTTTAGATTTAAAATTTGATTAGGGATGACACTCTGGCAACAGAACGTTAAAACTTTTACGAACATGATGTCATCTCGGTAAGCTGATCACTGTATCTTGTTTCATCTTCTTATAGAAATGAGCTGATGCATTAGAAAAACGAGATATGGATTTTTAATGTTTTTTCATCGGTGCATCATAACCAGCCAAGACAAATAAGAGAGCCCATATTGGACTGTATCATGTTACAGTCTGTGTTTACTTTTATGGGTAAAACTACACAATATTTGAGTAAAGATGGATCATGTGTTGCTAGTTTGTTGAAGTCAGTATCTTCATCTTTATCTTATGTGTTTGTTGTAGAGCCAACTCCTCCACCGAGGCCTCAGTCGGGGAGACAGGTAAGACAGCTTCTTCTACTGTGCTAATACAGACCCTAGTGCTGGGGACAAGGTCATGAGTTCGAATCCCAGAATAACTCAATATGTGATCTTTGGTTTGTTTGTGCCAGATCAACGGTTGTTGGATTCATTAATGTTTAACCTGTGTCATCTGTGTCATTAAGGCTCTCATGTCATGGTGACACCCGATGACAATAGAAGTGTAGAGATATTTTGATGTTGGGAATATAATTAATAGTGTTTCGAGACTTGTATCAAGTATATTTGTCATGATTTTAGCTGACAGTTTGTGTAGTTCAGACAGGGATAATTTACTGCTATATGTTGACCCCACCTCTCTCCTGTGGGAATGTCTCTCTGGTCTAGTCGATAGAGGGTTTGTACATGAAATTGAAGCGTGATGATTCATTCTCCTACCCTGTCAAACCAAAAGACATTTAGAGACAGTACTTGTTACTCTGCCTGGTGGTCAGCGTGTGTGAGTGAGTGAGTTTAGTTTTACGCTACCTTTAGCAATATTTCAGGATTATCATGTTGGGGAACAACACAATTGGTCTTCTCACATTGTACCCATGTGGGGAATCAAACTCGGGACTTCGGTGTGACAAGTGAACGCTTTAACCACAAGGCTACCCCACCGCCCCTGGTCAGCATTAACATGATATGGGTAAAGGCTAAGACAAATCAACAAGTCAGTTACAATAATGTTTCAGAGTGTGATATGTATGTTAAACTGCAGCATAGTATCTCAGTGGGCTGGCAATATAAAACTTTATATTTGTCAGGTGTTGACAAGCATGCATGTATGTCACTGTAAAAGTGCAATAATCTTGGACTAGACATTAAACCCCATGTCACCTCAACTCATCAAACTATCAACCACAAGCCAAGAGTCAATATAAGACACAAGTGCTAATAAGAAGATCAATTACATCATCTCAACTGATATGTCAAGTTAAATATGTTCGGAGTTAGGTTGTCATTGTATATATCGACCACAAGCCAAGAGCCAATATTAGACCCAAGTGCTAATAAGAAGATCAGTTATGTCATCTCAACTGATATGTCAAGTTTAATATGTTCAGAGTTGGGATGTCACTGTATCCAGAGAGATGTCTCCCTTTAGAAGTTCAGTGATGCGTGTTCTATGTGTGTATGGACTGTCGGGCTGTTGTGTACACACACACCTGTCAGGTTGTGTGTAGTGTCAATCACTGATACAGGCATACAGGTGTGAGAGACATGCTTTTATGTATGCTATCATTGCATCACTTTCTATCATGGTACACAAGTACGTGACAAGATTAGTGGTGTAAAGATATGGGAATACAGTGTTGTATCGTGATACGAGGCTCACAGTAGTATACATTGATTTACAACTCCTTAGCACCATATATACAATACATTACATTACAAGCTGGTGTGAAAAATGACAAGCTGCTCAAGGACCAGTTGATGAGGATTCTCCTGTATTTTCTGATAGGCTTTAATTTTAATAGCAGGGGCAGTGGGGTAGCCCAGGGGTTAAAGCGTTCTCTCGTCACACTAAAGACCCGGTTTTGGTTCCCCACATGGGCACAATGTATGAAGCCCATTTCTGGTGTTCCCTGCCAAGATATTGCTGGAATATTGCTAAAAGTGGTGTAAACTCACTCACTCTAAATAGCAGAATCTTCACAGTGTCCCTAAGCTTATGTGTTTCACTACAATATCCCATCTTCACTGTCTGAGATTTAAGAACAAATGATTCAGGGTTATGATTTACCTGCAGAAAGTGAGATTCTATGAACTTAGGAAATATAAGTACTGTATAGGATACAAATTGCATCACATCAATATTATTGGGATATGTTTCATATCATGGTCTCACAGTATCGTTATACCTCTTGACAAGATCAGTCATTACTGTCATAACAGTTGCAGTCAATGGCTCAAAATAACATGTTGTTAATGTTGTGAGTTAATTATAAACTAACATTTAAACTAAGAGAATATTACTTGCAACACGAATTCACTCAGAACATAATTTATTTGCCAATTTTTTAATGTCAAGAAGTATGGGATTTCTGTCAGCTTAGGAGACACAAAGATGCTGTTCTAACAATCTTCCATTAAATATTCTTGACTATTTGGATCATGTTGTAATTGTCTTCATGTGTTGTTCAGGATTCATGCTGCACGGATGTGACGGCACTATGCTTGGAGCAAACAATCAAAGTAAATAATTCCTTCTTTTGTTTGTTGTAAAACTTCACACTCAGAAATCTTACACCTGTATGATGGCAGCCTGTATATGATCCAGACTACCAAACTGATGATCGATGTCATGAGCAACACTTTGAGGTGCAGTGACACGCAATCAACCATGTTACTTAGTCTGAACTACTGATCCATTGAGATGCCTCGTACAACCAGTATAGAATCATGGGGACAGTGAACCAACAGAGGCATCATTTAGCGAATCAGAAAAGTGATGTTTGTCAGTAGTCGTTATTTGTTTTGTTTTGACGTCATACTCAGCAGTATTTCAGCTATATGGTGGCGGTCTGTAAATAATTGATTCTAGACCAGACAATCCAGTGATGAGCATTGATCTATGCAATTGGGATACGTTGAGATGTCAACTAAGTCAGCCTTTTATTGGTAAAGAAACTGATGGTTATCCACCTTCATGTGTAGTTGCTACAGGCATCTGTCCCACATTAAACAGACCACTGTTTAGGTTAACAATAGCGTCAGTAATGTAAGCCAAAGATGATGGTCTGTATGAATGTATTTGCTGCAAATATATATGACAGCTTCATGTGAAACACAGCTATGAATGTATTTGCTGCAAATATATGTGACAGCTTCATGGCTTATCAGAAACACAGGAAATATTTATGCACTATTTTAATAATAAATATATTCAAAGTATTTGCTGCAAATATATGTGACAGCTTCATGGCTTATCAGAAACACAGGAAATATTTATGCACTATTTTAATAATAAATATATTCAAAGTATTTGCTGCAAATATATGTGACAGCTTCATAGCTTATCAGAAACACAGGAAATATTTATGCAATATTTTAATAATAAATATATTCAAAGTATTTGCTGCAAATATATGTGACAGCTTCATGGCTTATCAGAAACACAGGAAATATTTATGCAATATTTTAATAATAAATATATTCAAAGTATTTGCTGCAAATATATGTGACAGCTTCATGGCTTATCAGAAACATAGGAAATATTTATGCAATATTTTAATAATAAATATATTCAAAGTATTTGCTGCAAATATATGTGACAGCTTCATGGCTTATCAGAAACACAGGAAATATGTATGCACTATTTTAATAATAAATATATTCAAAGTATTTGCTGCAAATATATGTGACAGCTTCATAGCTTCTCGGAAACACAGGACATATTTATGCAATATTTTATTAATAAATATATTCAAAGTATTTGCTGCAAATATATGTGACAGCTTCATGGCTTATCAGAAACACAGGAAATATTTATACACTATTTAATAATAAATATATTCAAAGTATTTATACATAAATAAACTGTTTCCACATTGTATAGTAGTAGTATTTTGATCTATAGTATTATAAGTTTGAGAACATAAGTTTTCACAGCTTAAGACAAGTGAATTAGAAACATTGTAGCATTCTCAATTCATAGTCTATGGCCTCAAGACATCCATTTGAAGTTTGAAACCATTGTTTGTTAGAGTTCAAACACCACAAGTACGGAACTATTCCTGACAGTTGTGATGCTCCGTGTTTTGATCTGACCCAGCCTCCTATAACCATATCCTATAGTTTACAATTCTATCAGGGACGTATATTTAATTACCTATAAACATAACCTGACACTGGCATGTTTATAAACACAGTTAGCTGTACAGGTCTACTAGCGATGGTATGTAATCACACTGAAGGAAGGTGTAGTATGGCTGATATGATGGTATGAAACAAAAGCCTTGTATTCCGATGTGCCCTTTAAGTGAAAATATCCTGATATTGGACACTGAATCACAATGGTAACAGATGTTCCAGGGCTGACTGGTTCCATGGACTGCAAGTCAGGGATGTCTGATGATGAACTATTGAGATGAAAGCATGCATGACGATGTTTGTGTCAAATAATCACATGGAATGAAAATGGGCTTCCACATTGTGTGTATTTTCCTGCCTGCTTCAGAGGAAGCAGTTAGTTGATCATGAGAGGGAAACAAAGCTGGATATGTAAAACCTGTGGTTGAGAATGCATCTGATATGTTGTCTTTCTGCATGACATGGTACATATGAATGACATCATTATTTTCATCATGTAAGTGCAGGTGCTCATTAACTCTCAATTATGAGTGAGTGAGTTAGTGAGTGAGTAAGTGAGGTTTAAACAGTATTGAACAGTGTGCAGGTGCTCATTAACTCTCAATTATGATACAAGTGAGTGAGTGAGTTAGCGAGTGAGTGAGTGAGTGAGTGAGTGAGGTTTAAACAGTATTGAACAGTATGCAGGTGCTCATTAACTCTCAATTATGATACAAGTGAGTGAGTGAGTTAGCGAGTGAGTGTGAGGTTTAAACAGTATTGAACAGTGTGCAGGTGCTCATTAACTCTCAATTATGATACAAGTGAGTGTGAGCTCATTAACTCTCAATTATGATACAAGTGATCCCGTGAGTTAGTGAGTGAGTGAGTGAGATGAGTATTGAACAGTATGCAGGTGCTCATTAACTATAAGTGAGTGAGTTAGCGAGTGAGTAAGTGAGGTTTAAACTGTATTGAACAGTGTGCAGGTGCTCATTAACTCTCAATTATGATACAAGTGAGTGAGTGAGTTAGCGAGTTAGGGAGTGAGTGAGTGAGTGAGGTTTAAACAGTATTGAACAGTATGCAGGTGCTCATTAACTCTCAATTATGATACAAGTGAGTGAGTGAGTGCTGTTATGTCCCCAATGTGGAACTACATGTTTATCAGTAGTACTCTGATTGCTGAATAAGTATTTTTTTAGATGTGAAGAAAGATTACAAGACAAGAATCCAAAGCTACACTTTGACTTTCTTCTCTTGTAGGGGTGGTGGGGTAGCCTAGTGGTTAAAGCATTCGCTTTTCACGCTGAAGATCAGGGTTCGATTATCCATATCTGTACAATGTGTGAAGCCCATTTCTGGTGTCCCCCACCGTGATATTGCTGGAATATTGCAAAAGCAGCATAAAACTTAACTCACTTACTCTTCTCTTGTGATATGCTTCCAATAATGATAGGTGCTTTTAAGGAATGGGAAGTTTAATCATTTGTTTTCCAGGGTGGGACTATGGTCAGGCAGATGGATGGATGTAAGAAAACATTCTTTATTCTGTTTGGTGTCACAATATAAATGTTAAGGTAATATATTACATGGGTCAACATTTGTGACAACAGCACCACATAACTTCACTTAAAGTATTTTAAAAACATTTGTGCCAGATGAACACACAGTGAGTTGGAGCCCCAGAGCACCTGGCCAAACTGTTTACTCCCAAAAGTGAGACCTCCCAAAAGTCATACGTCCCAATTGTCAGACAAATCAATAGGCGTGACTGTAATTACAATCTAGTCTTACCCACTGATATAATGAACCTGTCCCATACACTAATGAGATGGTTTTCACATTTTTACAGAAATATTTTAATCAGAATACTAATGTTGACAGTTAACCTAGAGAAAACTCAAATTGTTGAAAGTGAACCCTTAGCGAGAAATAAGAAATGGTTGTATAAAGGTGAATGTGTCTTAACAGTTGATTCATACAGATATCTAGGCATTCCTTTTTCATCTTCTTGTAAATTCAATAAATGCATATTAGATTTATCATCTCGGGGTAAAAGGGCACTTCTAGAAGTACTAAACTACATAAATTAGATAATGTTGACTATTCTGTATTTTTCAAAATATTTGATACCCAAATTCAACCAATCCGTTTGTATTGTGCCGAAGTATGGGGTATTAATACATTTTATAAGATTGAAAATGTACATTTAACTGCATGTAAGACGTTCTTAATTGTTGGTCCCCAAACACCAAATGTAATTGTTTATGGTGAATGTGGATGTTACCCAATGTATATAAATGCACAACGGCGTTTCATAACATACTGGCTAAAACTTGTAAATATGCATCAACAAAGAATTCCAAAAAAGCTTATGATATGCTAATGTATTACGATAATTGTGGTTATGATAACTGTTTCATCTGTGCGTAATTTATTGTTTTCATATAGATTTGGTTATGTTTGGTTATTTCAAGGTGTTGGTAATGAATCCCAGTTTCTTCAAATGTTTAAACAAGTTGCAGTTGACATGTATATACAGTCATGGAATAGTACAATTGAAGAAAGTTCAAGATATAAGCTGTACAGACAATTTAAAAGCCTTTTAGAGCCAGAAAAATAACTATGTTAACAAATAAGAAACACAAAAATATTCTTACTAGGATCAGAGATTTTGCATGCTTGTTTTTACGATGTTCAGTTTGATCAAAACAAGATTATAGATTTTGCATGCTTGTTTTTACGATGTTCACTTTGATCAAAACAAGATTATAGATTTTGCATGCTTGTTTTTATGATGTTCACTTTGATCAAAACAAGATTATAGATTTTGCATGCTTGTTTTTACGATGTTCACTTTGATCAAAACAAGATTATAGATTTTGCATGCTTGTTTTTACGATGTTCACTTTGATCAAAACAAGGTTATAGATTTTGCATGCTTGTTGTCCCCCGCCGCAACGCGGAACGGGGGACTATGTATTCAGCGGCGTCCGTACTTATGTACGTCCCGATTCTTGTTAACACGATATCTCATGAACTGTTGTTCCCGATGTCTTCAAATTTGGTGACAGCCTACATTGGGGATTATGCAGACACCAGTCGATTTGGGTGACCTTGACCTTATTTTCAAGGTCACCATGACACTTTGACCACTTTTCAAACTCTTGTTAGCATGATATCTCATGAACTGTTGTACCCAATGTCTTGACATTTGGTGACAGCCTACATTAGGGGATTACGCAGACACCAGTTGATTTTGGGTGACCTTGACCTTATTTTCAAGGTCACCACAACACTTTGACCACTTTTCAAACTCTTCTTAACACGGCATCTCATGGACTGTTTTACCCAATGTCTTCAAATTTGGTGACAGCTACATTGGGTGATTACGCAGACAA